AACAGCATGGAGTAATAGACATAATCTGGAGGGAAGTTTCTACAAGGAATAATGATAATTAAGGTTGAGTGTATAGGATGAAGACTGATTGTAAGTGGTATTGAAAGGGACTAAATAATACCTGTTTGAGTCAGACATTTATTAAGGCTTATTGTGTATCAGACACTGAAATGGATGCTAAAAAAGCAGACACAGTACTTTCTCTTTAGCAGATGCTCCCATCTGTCTTTAGAGAGGGAAGTAGAGCTGAACAATGATAGCATGGTTGACGATTGCTGTTACAGGAGCTGATAAAGAGATGGGAGAGACCAGAGGAGAGGGAGCCCAGATGTCTCTACCTTAGGGAGTCAAGGAAGACCTCAGAGAGAAGGCCATTGACCTAGGCTATGAAGAAGAAGAAGGAGGAAGGATATTCCAGGTAGAGATAAAAAGCTTAGAATAACAGGGAACCATGGAATACCATGGTTTGTCAAGTTCTAATGTGACCCAAAGTTCATCAGACTAGTGTTTGAGAAACTCTTTGGGAAAGTGTAAGCAGGTACCATTCAGAAAACATAGTTTTTGTTATAGGATTCAGTCCAATCCTATTCATTTCTAAATTGGCAAAAAAGACTAAAACACTCCCTTTGTGACTATTTTGTTGTCTAGAAATATTCATGTGAAGGGAGAGTGCTTTTTCTGAGTGGCTAAGGACTTGTACCCCTGATCCTTACCCTTAGCTCTTGGAGGGCAGTACTTGTGACTCCAAAAGGGGAAATTGGTGCTGAGTACAATAGAGTAGTGTCAGCTTATTCTAACTGTGAGCATGTGAGAATGTGAACAGATTATCAAATCACGTGAACAACAAAACATAGAGATTGGACATACTTGAGGAGAACTCAATCAATATTTTAGTGTCAGTCCTCTGAGGCAGCTGCCTCCTGCCCTCCAAGAAAAAAAGCATGCAATGGTCAGGGGCCTGTTTGGGGGAGGGTTAAACTGGAATGACATCCTAGGTATTGAGTGATGAAGTTGTTTTAATACCTTATCTTGTTAGAATACTGCGGAGGCACAGTTGGAAGCCAAAATTACTCAGCAAATCGCTGTTTAATTCATAGGTGATACTTGTGGCTTCATAATTTCTATAGAAGAGGAATTTAAAGATGGCTATTAGTTTTGAAAGTAAGGGATAGAGCCATGTCTATAAGTTTTGTTTGTATAGTATTTTACATAAGATTAAGAAAAAGACAATTGTCCCTGTCAAAGAATGCGGGAAACGTAGGGTAGCCATTACTTTGGGGGAAATAAATAAACACAAACAGGATGAAAAAGGCAGAAGCTATTCTGGAGAGGGAGTCAAGGAAGATGAGAAACCTTTAGGTGCCGGGCAGAAAAGAGAATGGGAGAAGGGCTAGGATAGGCTGCTTAGAGAATACTCGTATCTGTAAATCAGAAAATTCCTCTGACGGTTCTACTCTCCGTCCTCTACAGCTCCATACCTCTCCCAACCTTTCAAAATGTTTTACTTAGTCAGATTTATATCTTCAGTTAATACCTCTTGCCTTGACTCTGGATTTGTATACTCTGCCCCCTCAAATTCTTTACTTATATGTCTAATAGGCATCTCAAACTTAATGTGCCCAAAACCAAAATTCTGATCTTTGCCTTCCCCTCCTCCCTTCTCTGTCTTCAACACTTCCTTCTTCAATGTCAAGTTCATGTTTCTGTTGTTCAAGCCAAAAACTTGAGTTTTCCTTGACTCTTTTTTTCTCACACTCCATACCCAACCCTTCAGCTCATCTTATCAGCCCTACCTTTAAAACATTCCAGGAACCCAACCGCTTCTGCCACTCTGCTGCTACCACCCTAGTCCAAGCTGCTATGGTCCCTTGTCTAAATTATTACTAAAGACTCCTAACTACTTTCCTTGTTTTCACCTTTCCCTCTATTCCCCCTGCAGTCTCTTTTTAGCTCAGCAGCCAGAGTAATGCTTTTAAAATGTGAATCAGGTCATGTTCAAAACCATCCAGTGGTTTCCTGCATCATTCAGGGTAAGAGCCAAAGTCCTTATGATGGTCAGTAAGGCCCTACACAATCTGGTCCTGCTACCACTCTGACCTCATCCCCTACTGCTCTCCCTTTCCCTCATTCTGGGGCAGCCACGCTAGTCCCTTTGCTGGTCTTCACATTCACCAGTCTCCTCCCTGCCTTGGGCCTTTGCCTTTACTGTACCCTCTGGCTGGAATTCTTTCTATAGTTGTCCACTTGACATACTCTCTCATCTCCATCAGGTCTCTGCCCAAATGTTACCTTATCAGTGAGGCTTATAGCATACCACCTGCATTGGTTCTACACTCGCCTACCCTGCTTTACCTCCCCCCATGGACCCCCACTGTAACCACATAAAATGTAAGCTCCATGAGACTAGGACCTATGTTGTGTTTTGTTCATTGCTGTAACTCTAGGGACCATAATATTGCCTGGTATATAGTAAGTGCTCAATAAATATTTGTTGAATAAATGAATTAATCCTACTAGAAATATCAGCCAACCAGTTGCTTAATTTGACAAGCATCCTATTTTTTGTATGTTGGATTGTTGTTTGTCTGTTTTATTTTTAAAGTGCCAAGACCTGAGGAAACTAAGTAAAATGACTGTCATTTATATCTTATTGTGAATTCATTGATCTTACTTGTTGGTAATGTAAAGCTGAGATTAGCCTCATTGAAGAAATGGCTTTTCAACAGGTGGAGATCTTAGTCATGTCATCCATATCTTGGAAAACACTCCTAAAAGGACAAGTAAGATTTGAATGTATTTAAGAGAGGAAAAAAGGCATGCCAAATGAGGAGAATAATTAGAGCAAAGATCAGTGGGGCATGGAATTGTATAATAGGCAGAACTGACTGACGCCAACAAGGAACTCATTGACAACAATAGAGAGGCCTGAAGTGGGGGAGGGGGAGGGGAATTATGGTTGAGTTGTAGAGGCCTTGAACTAAGGAAGTAAAAGGTCTTGAAAATCCAGTAAGGTTTTGAGGGTGAGTGAAACGGCTGAAAGTGATTGGGGGAAGATGAATCTGACAGGACGGGAAGACACTAGAAGTAGACAGGCAATTACAGATATTGTTGTGATTATTCATGCAAGTGGAAATGAGAGCCAGGACCAGAATGGTGGCAATAGAAATGAAGGAATGGGATGGGTATGGAACACACGGTAAATAGAGTTCATGGTATCTGGGATCAACCTGACAATGAGCATGTTTCTACTAATGGTTATGATATTTCTGTTCTCAGAAATATAAAAAATGTGGAATTGAGTGAAATTTTTTGGAAGTGCTGCTAAGCTGATCTATTTTCCAAAACTCACCAGCCAGTCATCTTTCCTGGCCTGGTCTCCTCACACTTTTTCTATCGTTTTATTAAAAAAATACAAAACCAAGGGGATCAGCCCAGTAGCATAGTGATTAAGTTCATGTGCTCCACTTCAGCTGCCCAGGGTTTGCAGGTTTGGATCCTGGGCCTGGACCTACACACTGCTCATCAAGCCATGCTGTGGCAGCATCCCACCTACAAAATGGAGGAAGATTGGCAGAGATGTTAGTTCAGTGACAAATGCAATTGCTTGGAACATTTGCTGTCAGGTTCCATTCAAGCAAGCAGATACTTAAAGACAACTTTGTACTCTCTTCACTAGAGGGTGCCAATGCCTCTATGTCCTCCAGATGCCTTGGCATCTCATGCAAATATAATTCTAAAGAGCCTTGTCTAGCAGACAGTTGAAGATGAGGAGGAGCTGAGGCTAGAGGGAGATATAAGAGAAAACAGGCTTGGGAGTCGTCTATATAGTGCTGATAGTTGATGCTGTGAAGGTTCTTGAGACTTCTGAAGGATAAAATGGCTGAGGACAAAACCTGAAGAAATGTCCACACATAAAGGTCAGGAAGAAGAGGAAAAAAGGGCAGAGAAGATAGAGGAGAACCGGAAAAGTAGTCTTAAGGAACCCGAAAGAAGACAGTTTCAAGGAGGTGCTGGTCAATGACAGTAGGCGTTGGTGAGAAATTGAGTAGAAAAAGGACTGAGAAAAAAAGCTATTATGGTTAATCAAACAGTGAAGTTGGAAACTAGATTTAGGGTAGGGGTGTGAACTTCAAAAATGAGTGCTAGAGAAAAAGGAATAGACTCTGGTACCTTGAACTTACTTTTTTAAAATTAATTAATTAATTATTTATTTATTTTTTTGAGGAAGATTAGCCCTGAGCTAACTGCTGCCAATCCTCCTCTTTTTGCTGAGGAAGACTGGCCCTGAGCTAACATCCATGCCCATCTTCCTCTACTTTCTATGTGGGACACCTACCACAGCATGGCATGCCAAGTGGTGCCATGTCCGCACCTGGGATCCGGACTGGTGAACCCCGGCCTGCAGAGAAACAGAACGTGTGCACTTAACTGCTGTGCCACGGTACCTGCCCCTGAACTTACTTCTTGAAGTTCTGTGGCAACAAAAGGAAGAAAAGAAACAAAATAGTAACTAGAGAGGCACCAGAAATAGATTAAAAAGAAAATCTAGGTAATAATTATTATTGCTAGTTCAAGCAAAAAGAGGAGGATTGGCAACAGATATTAGTTCAGAGCCAATCTTCCTCACCAAAACACAAAACAATTATAGAACCAGCAGTGCCAGATCTTCTGACTTTTCAAGAAAAGCTAGAAATCTAGCTACTTTGTATATCTTCCCATTTTTAAATGTTAGCAATTCAATTGTTTTGTTAACAAATAGAACATACTGTGGACTAGAGTTGGTTGCCAATTTGCAACCTCTAGCTGGAATTGGGTGTGTTGCTTTCTAAAACCGCCTTGAAATGTACCCCAAACCTAAAGGTAATAGTCCCTTTTAGAAGCCTGTCTGTGTAATTCCTATTGGCAGGAAGCTCATAGGAAGGCTTTTTGTAGTAGCTAATGTTTTCCTTTTGTTGGAATGCTGATTTGAAAGTTACAAGCCTTTCTCTGCTTCTTCCCAGCCAGGTCTCTAGACAAACTTTATAACTTTGCTGATTGCTCGGGACTCCACCTGATATTTGCTCTAAATGCACTGTGCCGTAATCCCAATAACTCCTGGAACAGTTCTAGTGCCCTGAGTCTGTTGAAGTACAGCGCCAGCAAAAAGTACAACATTTCTTGGGAACTGGGTAATGGTAAGTAAGGATGTTATTTCCTCTGAATTGACAAGATAAAGGGTGAAAAATAAGTTGGCCTGGGATATAGTCTCAGACCATCTCTAGTCCACTGGCCCAGAAAACACTTGGGATGTTTGGCCGCTGAGTTGACCTTCCGAATATTAAAAGACCAAATAGTGAAGGACAGTAGATTTAGTGAATCCACACCATTTGAATCTACAGTTATCTCTAGTTACCTCATTCCAAATAGGGGGAAATGCCATATGTGATTTACAACTAACAAATTGATGTTAAACCAGGTACAACCTGTCTGCACAGCCTGAGCTGCATTTTGCAATGTGTGTTCTATGGAACACTGGTCCTACAAGATGACCCTTATAATAATTCAAAAGAGCTTGGTCAAATATATTTGGAGATTGCTCTACAGTATATGTACCTCTTGAAGGTTCACAATACATGTTAGCATATAAAAGGCTCTGAGAAGTCCTGCTGCAATGAAAGCTGTATAACGTTTTTTAACCCAGCATTTCTTAAACCATTTAACCAGTGTTGTTTTCAGGGGTGTGCAACCTATGCAGTCACATAGGGCCCTATGCTTAGAAGAGACCCATGCTTGGTTTAATGTTCTGCTGTCGTCATCTTGAAATTCTTAATTTTTTAACAATGGGACTCACTTTTTCCTTTTGCACGGGGCACTGCACATTTTGTAGCCCGCCATGTTTAATCATTGAACTGTGTGTGTGTGAGAGAGAGAGAGCGATAGAGACCTATTATCATCCCATGGAACAATAGTCCATGGAATGCACTTTGGAGAAATATTGCCTCAATTACACTACTTTTCCTAATGATATATATGTGTGTGTGTGATATATATGATATTCTATAGATTCTATAACTCCCTAATATTTTTTAAAATTATTTTATTGATGTCATAATGGTTATAACATTGTGTAATTTCAGGTGTATGTTATTATTTATCAGTTTCTGTATAGACTACATTGTGCTCACCACCAATAGTCCAGTTTTATCTGTCACCATACATATATGCCCCTTTACCACTTTCACCCACCCCCTCCCCCCTCCCCTCTGGTAACCACTAACCTGTTCTCTTTATCCATGTGTTTTTTGATCTTCCACGTATGAATGAAATCATATGGTATTTGGATGACTAATGTTGAGTCAGTTAGTATGGGTGTTAGTTAAAATTATGGATAGTATAAATTTGAAAATACTCTGATTCTCTAATTAAAAGACATTTTGGTGGACCTTAGAACAAAACAACTAAGTCTAACAAACCAAGACATCTCTTAAAATTACTGTTACAAATCGATATCAACATTTTTGTCCATGGCTTCACATATCTATAGCTAACCCATACTTGTTTGAAGCTCTGTGTATGTGTATATGTGTGTGTGCACACATACACGTGCCCGTGTGTATTTATTGCACTCTAGAATTTTAAGTCCTCATAATAAGATAGCAAGGGATGAGGGTCTTATATAAGAACAATTGTCCTATTTTCCTATCAGTCGTCATTAACTGGAATGTAGTCTCAGTTTCTTTCCTTTTGCTCTTTCTTTCTCTCTTCCTCCCCTGGAGTGGGGGAAATTTGGGGAGAGTTAGGGGCCAAATGGAGATCCACTGAGCTGAACTGAAAGATGCTTTGGCTGTAGGGGGTAGAACTGGAGTAGCCTGAGGTTTTTATCTTCCCAACCAGTCTGGGTATCATACATTCTGTGACAAAAGCTAGAGTGATGTGATCAGCTTTGAACTTGGCAAAATTACTGCATAGTAGGGAAAGTCCTTTTCTGATCCCTTCCCTTCCCATCTTCTATTTCATGCCCCTAAACATTCTTTGGTATTTTATGTTGTCTACTCATCACCCCACTCCTAAAATTACCCTACCCCGATATCAGACACCACACGACTTAGCTCTCTTCCCTAAACAGAGCAAAATATTCTTCAAACAGTGCATTCCCCCAAACAAGGCATTATGCCTTTCATGAGGGACCAATTAGATACAATGTTTAAAGTGGGTGAGTGTAAGACTGCAAGGAGTGTAAGGGCCTCTGGTGAATTAGAGAATACATGCTCTGCCTAAAGGCTTTGTTTGTTTGTTTTCTTTTTAAAATATTGTGCTACCGAAATGAAATTGGTTGTAAAAAAATCTTAGCTAGTTATAAATAAGCGCTAAGCAATTAAAAGTTACTTACAAGTGATTGATGGGGATATTCCTCCAGGGTTTTTGGCATCTCTGAATGTGGGAGCTTGTTAAACTTAATAAATCTTTAATTGGTATAACTGGAGTGATTTGGGGGTGCAGGTGGGTAGGGAGAGAATATACACATCCTTCTGTAGATACCCGTCTATTCCAGACAACTGAGAGCCTGCCCCTCCTCACCCACCTGCTTCCCCCCAGCTATGCCAAATAGTTTGGAGACGGAGCTAATTACTTTAAAATAATGTTATTTAGTCACCTTAGCCACACAACACTTTATTCCCTTCATCATCTTTTAAGTGCCTCTTCAGAGCTTAACGAAAACAAAGTATCATTTCTGAGGAGGAAAAAAGGCACAATCACAGGTGAGAAAATAGGTGGGGATATAGATAGGAATAGATAGGAAAATAACCAAATCTATGAATTTAAAAATTCAATCAAATTGAAAGTATGTGGTAATGATTTTGTGAGTATTTCTATCAAGGCAGATACAGATGAGTTTTGAAGCTCTAGTCAAGAAGACTAGACTTGGTTCATTTTTCCCTTCTTGCTTTTATTTTAAAAACTACATTTCTGTTTTTTAATATGACTTATAAATAATCTGCCCAACTCAACATACCTTTTCGGGTTTGAAGATTTATTTTGCTGCTTCTTTTAATTCTTTCTACGTGAATGAATGTGCTAGAATCATATTCCTTAAGATTTCTAGTGTGTTCTTCTCACAACATTCTGTGTTGTGTATTCAGGTCCTTTTCCCTCAAAATTATCTGCATGGTCATCTTCCTGGCCTAGACTCGTCTCTCCAATCTTTTATCCATTTTCTTCTTTGTAACCTTATCTTTTTGGACAGAGGGAATAGTTTAATCATTATTTCCAGATATAGGGAGGGACAATAGAACTGGTCAGTCCTCTTGTCACTCATCTTCCCACATACTCACATCCTGTTAACAAGCATTTTATCTCTTAGCAAATCTAACGTTGGAAAAACCAAAGTAGACATTTCTTTGGTTGTTTCTCCTAGAGTAGCTAAACTTCAAGGGACTAAATTACTTTTTTTTTCCTCCTTTGAAATCAGTGAATAATATGGGCTACAGACCACAAAAGCGAGATACACCCAATATCAAGAGGTAAAGACTAAGAAAGTTTAGCATGTCAAAGTCTATGAAAGAATGACTTTCTTGATACAGGATTTTTAACAACTACATTTTGTGGAAATAAAATGTTTCCTTAAATGTAATAAATTATAAACTCTGCATTTGATTAATGCTAGGTGATAACTGTAATTATTTGCATTTTTATTAATCACTGGTGAATCTAAAGTAAGGAAGAACTAGAGGATTTTGAAGCAGGGTTTCAAATCCTAGAAGTGTAGAATAAGATAGTCTTATTAGGAAAAGTCTCAATAAGATAGAATAGTCCAACTCTGCTCCAGGGAGATGTTGTTTGTTCTCTAGAGGGCCATCCTTAACAAGAAGCCTCTGAAGATAATGCAGCCTCTCTAACTGAACTCTACATTTATGAAATTGCCCCTCAAATTAAGTGTGCTTCCCAATTAGATCAACTCATTTCTGTGAACAGATAAAAACTACTATAATTAATTACTGAATCAGTGTCATATATTCATACCTACACCTGACCTATACATTCACCAGTTATCTTATGATTTTAGTTGTATGGCTCAATTCCCTGGAACTTGATGTCTGCTAAGTGATTCATGAAATCAAATTTCTGACCTTACAAAATTTAGCCCCTTAGAGATGATGATTCTGGCAGCTCAGCTTTATTTATTCATTCATTTACTCAATATTTCTTAAGCATTTAGTCTGTGTTTATGTGGATAAATGTATGATGTATTTATGTCTAGCTGTTTATACATTTTGAACATGTATATTTGTGTATATATAATAGTGATCGCCTTGTGAAGGCCAAGCAGAGTTGAGCCATCATCACATTACCAATTGTTTATGAGGCTAGGTCATAGCCCAGAACTTGAGAGAACTATATTTTCATAGAATAGAGTTTTGATGGTTAGGGAAGGAGAAGAGAGGGAAAGAGAAGGAGAGGGGAAGACGAGAAGCCATATAAAGTTTCTTTAACTTCTTACTTCTCTCCTTTCCCTCTCCCTGCCTGCTTCTTACCATCATCACCTTCATCTTCTTAATTTTTTCTCCACATACATACTCTCATGCTATTTAGTCATTTAATTTGTATTTAATATTTAATATATACATATTGAGCACCTGCTATGCAAAATATTGTGCCAAGTGCTAGAGTGGGAGTTGGAGGATATCCTTAAAATCCTTCTCTGCCCACTACTGTATTTCTTCGTGGAGTACACTGTGATAGCCAGTAAATATAAAGAGCAAGGAATTCTCAGTCTCTAGGAGCTTATTATCTAAATGTAAAGGCAAGATAAACTCAAGATTATTGAACTATTAAACCCTCATATATTAAAACTGGAAGGAGCCCTTAGAGTTAGAAATGAGTATAGAATAAATCAAGGAAGTTATTAAACTAACAAATAATATAGTATAAAAATATACATTAATGCACAGAAGTGTTCATAAATTCATGACTTACATTTTCAAGCACTGAAATTAATTATCCTTTGATTAGTAAGAGAATTTATTGATGTTTGAAGTGCATCAGTTCTTTATTTGATTCATTGTCATAGTGGAGAACCATGTTCTCTCATGAACATGGTTTAGTGTTAGAACTTATGGCATAACTGTTTAGGGTTAGTTAGATAGTTCAGGAAAGCTTAGGTGGGATAGCTGCCGTGTGTGGACGTTTGATGAAT